GTTGGGGTTTAAGAGTTAATGGACATATGAAATTAAAGATCTCTATCATACCTACTTTAATAGTTGGGAAAAATCATTATGATAAGTGAGCCTAGAGAGTATCTGTTGATTGACCATTTATTGCTGATACTTCCTCTAAATTTAGAATAATTACTGGGGAAACATGAGGGAACATTGCACTTGTGTCTAGGTGCTTTTTTGATGTATATATCAATACAATCAGTATTTTTTTTAAAATATAGATTAACCCTTATATCAATTGTTCTCAATTATCTCAGTGTATCTACATCTTATTCAAACATTTTCATCTTCATTTAAAGAAAATATACAAACAGAAAAAAAAAGCATTCTTGTTTTGGTTTGCAGAGTCATTGAAAAGCACAAAGTTTGTCCTATTTCCCTCTTACTATGTAAACCAAATCCAGTTCTTATCAGAAATCCAGCTAATGCCCATGTTATTTTACATTACTTCTTCCACAAGTTAGCAGCTTGCTCGGTGGAGAATCTGTGATTGAGTTTATTAGACCGGTTTCTTATATTAAACTAGTCATAATAAGATCACCTGTCAGTAGGGAATGGGAAGTCATGTTACAGTTTGACTGGGAACATGATGTACGAAGTATATTAGAAAGTGTTATTGGTTTTGAAATGGCAGACATACTGGTACGTGTTGTATTGGAAGTGCATACTTTAATTACCTGGCATTTATCTCTCCACTCCCATGTCTCGGCACAAATAAAGTTTCAAGGCCTGTTTCCAGTGAAGATGGGTTGAACTAGCTCATGATCAGTACAGATCAATCTGATATTACAGATTGATATGATATTACAATTTCTAATCAGTAGAAACCTGTAAATCTATCTATTGTCCCTCCATCCACTGTTGTAATTATAAGGAGTTATTTAATGATAGATTGACTGAATACTGTGGATGGAATAAAGAGACTACCTGTTGAGTAGATACAAGGTTAGGTGGACTTACCTTCACTGGAAACACGACTCTAGTGAAAAACGGTAGTGGTTATTTATAATCTTGATCACCCTAGAGTAGTTTGCCTGCTTCTTAAGGGCAAGTGGAAATTGATTATTTATGGTATTTTCAAATCAATCTAGTGAATCAGATAAATTCTGATGATGTTAAGCAAATGATAAATAATGCTTGGCTAAAGATTTCAGAACAAATTAAAATAGAATGGAAGCTTACTCATTTGACCTGAGAATTAACTGTGGATTTTTTGTAGTGTTTCAGGCGACCAATGAAATGAGTAAAGAAGTTCATCTTTCTTTGCATTTCTGGTAGTCATTTATTGACTCCAATTATTCTTTTTCTCAAATACTAGATTAGAGTCTTCAGGCATTCATGTTTGTTGACAATTTTTTAGATGTGAAATAAAGGATCTATTTACCTTTACTGTTTCAAAATTAATAATGTTCTAATAATTTGATATTTTATGTCAGCTTCAATGTATCAGATTCGTACTGTTTTATTTACAGTGTAGAAGACATAACCAAGGAATCTGCCCAAAATTGTGACTTCTGTGAAGGATCTTATAAAAGGTTTGTTCTCTGATAAATTATATACAGAATAGCGTCATCCATCTTTTCATACCTTGAAATAAATATCTAGTGACTTTACTATTTTTTTAGATTGAAATGAATATTGAATAGATGTACACTTTGTATAGTTTACTACATATTACTGTAAATGGGAGAAAGATATATGGTATGATAAATAAATAAATAAATAAATCCACAGTTAATGTAGTCACCAAAATATCAAGCATCTGGGAGCTAGCAAGTCCCATTATATAAGAGGGCATCTGTCAAGGTTCCACGCACAGCAAAGCCACCTAACACACCTAATTGATTATACATAAAACTAGGCCAGATATAAGGACCGGAGGACCGGCTCTTAATCTGAATTTATCTGAATTTAGCCAGATTTTGAGATTGTATTTGTTTGTGATAATGATAAGGTTGGGTACACCACTAAATTGTACAGTTTGTTTTTTGTCAGTTTGGAATCTGCAATCACACGACTTTGGAATAGGTATATCTCTGATATACTGTGTAACCATACAGTAAAAAAAGGATTGTCACTGTGCTGCTTAATAATTTACCCTTCCAGCTGCCACTGAGTCACACAACTAGTGAAATGTATCTTTTTTACTGTATGTTATGTTACTAGTAAATATATTCCTTTTTTTTAAATTTGTATAAGTTATATCCCACTAAAATTTATTTATATATTTTAGTTTGAAATATTTAGCCATAGTTATAGCAAAACACACTAGCATGATTATGAATGATAATGACAGTAATTTATTGACCATTAAATGTGTTTACATTTGTGGGCTCTCTAGGTTATTGGGTATAATGTTGATTACACAAGAGTCGTATAAATTGGACATAAAAGACACATATTTCTATTGTTGACTAGTGCTTTTTTGCCATGTGGCAGTTTGTATGAACCAAGCTACTGCTTTATTGCTTTCTCAGAAAAAACAATGATTGAGTAGCAAGGATAATGTTTATAATGCTGGTAAACGACCCCTGTTCTATATATTTATGTTATTGAACATTCTGGCTTGTTTTCTAGTGATAGTGATTGTTTAAAAAGGTGTTAATATCAATAAAAAAACTAATAATAAAAATAACAAGAACAATACCTTTAAAAATCCCCAATATACTAAGAAAACTACAACAATAATAATGATAATTAGTATTATTATAAATATAATAATAGTAATAATAATTCTCACAGGAACTTGAACATTTGTGGGTTTGAGGTTGATGCTAAGTTTAAGCAGGAAGGTGGGATTTGTGTCAAAACAAACACATGATGAAATTTTGCATCTAACTTATTACTTAAATCTGCAGCTTAATACATGCCAAAAGAGTGTAACTGGTGATTACTTGGATTGAAAAGCAATGAAGCTGGCATTAAAACATTTATGAAAATAAAATCCTTTTGAAGAAATAAAGGTGGCACACACAGTCTAATTGCTCCTGTTCTTGGTGTTTTAGGTTCACGGCATTGGATCCATTTGGTCGAGTGGAGTCCAAGCATTCCTACAGTGTAGCTAATGCCTTTAAGTATGATAGGTGGCACAGTTTGGTGCTGCTGAGGAACCATCATCCACTCAAATGGACCGAAGAGGAGTTCTTGGATATGGCAAACACTGGGCTCTCATGGTAAAGGTTTGATGGCTGAAAAGAAAAAGTTGAATCAGTTTGGTGTATATATTGTCATTGAGAAGTTAATTGAAGACTACAAGGTTGCTTGGTGGGTCCTAGTTAAGCACAAGCAGGCAAATCTGTAATTTTTTTCCTTTCTGTACTTGGTACTCCCAAGGTTCTAAGAGTTTACTGGTCCAAAGCTGAAACAGTTACTGAGGACTCATTTATAAAATTTTACTGACCTAACTTTGTATTACAATTTCTAAATGAAATTTCTGTCAAAAATGTGAAATAAAAAGGTGATAAAAAACAGCTTTCTGATGCAAATTTTGCAGTAGTTCAGTTGTTGAGGCAGAGGTTTGACAATACATGGCTTTTAATGTCCAATTCCAGGATGAAGAAAGTGAATGCCATCCAAAAGGACTATGTCTATCCCATAATATTCTGGGACTTACTTCCTCATGCAATGGCCAGTCAGATTCATCCACACATGCATGTTAACGTGCGGCCAGATCAGTATTATGGTAAGCAATGGTCAGTGTTTGATTTAATAAAAATCGTCCTTAATCTTGATCACCCTTTGTGGGTGCATTCACATGGGTTCTGTTGTACTGTACTAGGTGGTCTGAACTAACTCCAAGTGGACTCTCCCTGAATGCAATAAGATTCACACAAATCCTCTTGCTTGCTTCCAATGTAATTGTGTAATAAGCAGCTTTTCTACATTCTACTCAACACCAGGAGGCATGATAATCTTTTTATCTGATTGCATTCAGCAACAGTTCTGGGAGAGTTGATTCAAACTACCTAGTATGATAGTTCCATTGTGAAGGCACCAACATTCAGCTCTTGATGTAATTGGTGTCATTGCCTGAAGATATCAGTACATACTGTCTCAGTTGTCTGTGTGATTTCTGTGGCATGTGACTTGTAACTTCAATTATGGCAGCAACAAGTGGGAAAATAAAGGGAATGAATTTGCTGCTTATCACGCTAAAAATGGATCATAATCACATGTTCATACTTGCTTTCCAAAAATACTTAATATGATCCTTTCTGTCAGCATTTTTATTCATTGTTTCGTATTTGTAGGTGCTCAGGAGTTATGGCGCAGGGCAGGAGAAACGTATTTTAGGGAATTTCGCAGCAACTATTTCAAGGAACTGAAGGAACTTCATCAGGCTTTGGGACTCACAGTGGACTTGGGGACTGCCACTGCTTTTGCCAATCTTGTAAGTTGGTTTGTGACTGCTGTAGTGAGTTAACTTTATATTTTGAAAACAGACCTATTATAGATAAGTGATTATTTTCATATGGCTTCAATTTATTTAAATTAAGTGCATTAACAATCTGTGACATTTTAGTAGATTTTTGTACCATTTATTGGTCCCCAAATTGAGGTTTTTTAGTTTTCTGTAATTTGATTTTTCAGAACCCCAAACATGAGACAGAGATTATTGTTCTTAGCAGGACTCCAAACACAGATTTCTTCAGGCTGATATATTATGTGCTCAGAAGTATGGAGTATTAGAATTTCAAGGAAATAAAAAAAATGCATTCCTGATAAACTAAATTGAACAGAGTTCATTTCCTGTCTAAAATTTACAGTGTCAAGTTGTCAACATAGCACGAAGAGTTAGTTCTCAGTTAACAAGTTGAAGGAGAGATGCATCTTGAAACAGACATAAAATATATATAATATGTCATGAAAAAAAGATATAAATGGAGTATTACTTTTTTAATGCATATGCTTTGAGAACAAAGCACTGTTTAAGATGAAAATTTCTTTAATCCATGTTTTTTTTTTTTTTTTTTAGCATACTTAGACGACCTGGATCAATTGTGCTTCAGCATGGCCATAACATTACCAAGTCTGGTAAGTAATGTGAATAATCAGAGAGGACTCTTGTAAAACAACATTTTGATCAAAAGTGAAAATCAGTAATTATTTATCATATATAATGTAAAACCTGAATGTCACTGTCCACCAAGATTACATCAAAAGTTGAAACACCATTGTCGTCTGCCATATAACTAGTCCCAGATCAATGGAGGTTTCCTTTACTCTGATTGATCAGTCATATGGTTGATAAAATGTTTCCTCAACTCTGATTGGTTTTTAGGTGCCAGATTCGTATATAAATGCTGATCGTGGCAGAATGCCAGCTTTTGCCAGAATCACCAGCAGGGGTTCCGCTTCCAGTGTCAAGGGAGACCTGAGCTCCATGGAAATGTATGGGGTATGTACCTGATTCGATTTTAATGACCGGGACAGCGCTGATTATAACAAAACCAGTAGAGGCAAAGCATAACTTTAAGTAGCAGTTAGTTTCAATACCTAAGGGCATGATGGAGGAATTTTGCATAACCATACTTTGCTTTCTGAATAAATAACGACTTTGCCCAGCTGTGCAGTAAGTATAACATTATCAAAATGCCTCATCACTATATGGTGTTAAGATCCCATATATTTTCAAACAAATGATCAGTCTGTTAATGAACAGCAGACATCTCAGTTGCTTTGTATGTATTTCAGGTATCTAATGTGAACATGGAGCCTTGGACTATGATTCAGCATGTCCAGCAGTCTGTAAACAAGAGATCTGTGGGCGGATAATAAGATAATAAGTTAAGAGGATTTAAGAAGAGCCAGAATATGAACAGCAGGCCTGACTCAGGCACAGGAGTCCATCAGTTCAGCTGTCTCTGTGTTATCTTGTCAAAGATGGATTAGGGATGGGAGTTCTTCTCTTTCAGGAGGTTGTCTTCCTTTGTGTGTATGAAAGGAATGTGGTGCTGTTATGAGTACCTTTTTTAATTGAATTTATTAACTTACATATTTTAATAAAGGTATTTTATTTTTTTACTTTTTTGGGGGAGGGAG